CTATAGGAAAACTAACTAGCTTGTGTTACATCAGATGGTCACTGTGGGAAAACGAACCGCACAGTATGGATGGGAAACAAATAGGGAAATTTGGATAACAGTTCTCTAACGGTGTAATGTTTTTTGTTCATCCATTATTGTTAAATGTCACAACCAGTGACAGCGTTTGGGTGGTGTCATATGTTCTGTATAATGTACGACCTGCCACATGTCACAGCATGCACGTCATACTCAATGGACATAACACACAGGTGGTGTTCTTTTTAGTGAACTCTTCTACAACAAATTCATGTTTATGATGAACCTTTACTTTGGTTGGGATTTTAAAGTCGAGATATTTGCAACTGAAGGGGGTTGGGTCACCTTGCAAGTGAGATATGTATATGTGTTTATTTGATTTACTTTTTGTGTTGTACGTGAATATATCATGTGTATATGTTAGTGGTTAGGCTATTGGAGTCATATAATTGTGAGGTTACAGGTTCGAGGCTCAGCTCAGCCCGATGTTGTGACCTTGGGAAAAGCACTTTACAAGAATTTTTCTCGCTGCACCCAGGTGTGAATGGGTACCAGGCCATAAACAGCAAAAGATCTTGTCAGAATGTTAGTATTTTAGCACTAGTAATATGGCAGCTTACACTGTATGCTCCCCAGGAAGTTGAGATTGTTTCAGAATGCCACTGGGTCTACGGGAGTAATATTTTTGTAAAGGCATAGAACTTGATATTGAAGCTACACAACTACTATTTATTATTATTTATAATTACAGTCAAACTTGCCATGACGGCCTGTATAATACGGCCTCTTTTCATTTTCCCCCTTCCGTGTTTTCTATTTAATTTAACTGTGTAAAACGGTCACCTGTCCAACGCGGCTGCAGCCACCTTATTTTATCAACCAACTGTCAAATTTACCTGCCTGAGGCGGCCAGACGTGGTCACTCATCGCCCGACGCTTTGTCATAAATTTTTTAATCTGCCCCTGAGGCTGTGGACGAGCCGTCATAATCCTTTCACGTGTCGTTAAATCTATTGTTGATCCCTCCATTGAATGTTTACTAAAGTTGACCAATGGGTAACAATACATTTTCTGCCGCTGGGAAGGGAAGCATGTGATCCGTAATAACCTATAAGCCCCCCCATAACTTATGCACAAATTGTATATGAGGTGACTGGTCACTGTTTTGTTTACCTAATCTATAACAAAGTGACAATGGACATTTACGTGAACTTGCAACAGAAGCCTCACTCATTCTCCGAGTGGTGACGACCTGTGTTTGTTTTACCGTGGCACTCAGTCTTCATCGTCTTACATAATATTTCGTTTATTTAACCCTTGCTCAACATCGGCAACAAAAAAAAAGCTAGCCAAAAAACAAATCAACAAACCTTTGAAGGGAATGGTTTGCTTTCTTCATCATCCAGTGCCAGATCTGCGACAAACATCGGCGATCATAGTTCTCCATTCATACCTTCCCTCATATGCTCTTAAAAAAGCTATGTTTCCTTGATCTTTCCCTGTTACCCATTTGTATAGGTTCCCTAAGTAGGTTACTCTGGGCCTACCCCTGCCTCGTTTGCCTTCAATTTTGCCAGTGAGAGCTAGACGTTCAAGACCTTTATGTCTATTCAGGTGTCCCAAAAACTGCATTTATCGTTTCCTGATTGTTCTTAACAGTGAGCGTCCCACGTGGGCTTCTTCAAGTACTCCTCATTTGATTTCTTTTCCTTCCACGATACTCTTAGCATTCTCCTGAGAAACCACATTTCTGCTGCTTCTATTTTATTTTCACTGTCTTTAGTGATTGTCCAGCATTCACTGCCATATAGAAGGGTTGACTAAACATAGCGTTTCAGAACTTTCATTCTGGTAGTCATTGAGATGTTTCTGTTTTTCAGGATTGGGCTCATTTTATTGAAACTAGCCTTAATCATTGTAATTCTCCATTTTATTTCTGTGGAACATTTATTTGGCATCAGATGTTATCATTTATACTAGATATTTAAACTGTTGGACTTGTTTGATCTTTTCAACTTTGCTAATGAGATGACAACTAGGATTTGCTGCTTTTTTGGATATTGCCATGCATTCTGTTTTCTTTACATTCAACAATAATCCTTTACGTTCACCTTCTGTTACAACAGTATCTAGAAGCAATTGAAGGTCCTTTTCTGAGTCTGCTATTAAAACAATGTCATGGGCATATCTGATGTTATTAATATTTCCTCCATTTATTTTGAGACCTGGACATTCTTCTATGTTTCTGAGGATTGTTCCACTGTACATGTTAAAGAGGTCTGGTGACATAACACATCCTTGCCTCACTCCTCGCCTAATCTGCTCATATTCACTGTATTCTCCATTAATTCGTACAGCAGCGTTTTAGTCCCAGTATGAATTCCTGATAATTCTTAGAACTTTTCCATCTATGTCTAGCTGTTCCAGTAAGTATTTTAAATAGCTCATCTTGTCTAACTTAATCAAACGCCTTTGAATAATCTATGAAGCATAAGTACAGCACTTTCTGTGCTTCAATACATCTTTCCGTTAACATTGTTAAGGTGAATATAGTATTTCTGGTGCCCTTTTCAGGAACAAAGCCGCATTGTGTTTTAGGTATCTCTGGTCTTACCCTTTTTCTCAAATCTTCCCATTAGTACTTGCAGCAATATTTTTGTAAAATGACTCATAAGGCTAATTGTTCTAAGCATATCACACTCAGTGGCACCTGGTGTTTTAGGTAAAGCTATAAAAACTGACTTCATCATATCTTTTGGGATCTCACCGCTGTCATAAATAGCATTTAGGAGCTTTGTTGTTATTTCAGTGCCTAGTTCTTCAAGCGCGGCAATCTCTTGAGCTGTTGCAAGCGCCGTAGAACCTCTACTAAAAAAAAATCACTTCAATTGGAATATTATCTGGTCCTGTGGCTTTTCCTTGTTTCATTTTCCTATTGGCAGCTTGTACTTCTGCTTTCAGTATTGGTGGTCCATTTATTTAATTTTTTATAACATCTGTGTTATATATGCTGCCACTTTTCTCCTTGACAATGAGTGACCGTTTTACACAGGTTTGACTGTATATATTATTTTAGTTTTGTGTTGCTTTGAGTGTATAAAAGTATCATGTACTTCTTTTCTGTTTTTGTGGGTGTGATTCCTGATTCTGAAGAGAGTTTCAACAATAAAGAAGTCTTTGACAATCAACAAAAATACCTCATAGTTTTTCACTTACTCCTCTTAGTTTGTGTGCCCACCACCCCGTTCCCCAGGCCAATTAGATGTTTAATATATGAAGGGCACAAGGGAAAAACCAGCGATGTCAGGTTTTTGCAGTGCTGAGATAACTGAAAAAACAAACTTTAAAGACTTATAACTCTTTCTGCTACAATGATCTCTCCACTGTTTACATTGACTTCAAGTATGACCATTTGTGTTGAAAATGAGAAATTTTCACAGTCCTCGTGTTATGGGTATTTTGGCGAGAGCAAAATAAAAAAATTATGTAGCAAACTGACTTCGCTGGGTTTTTTCTTTTTCCTTGTAAGCTGTTGGCAAGGTCTCCATCTTCTAGGAAGTCAATGAATTTTTAGACACTTTACGCATTTGTGAATACAAACAAAACTAAATGATTTAAACACGAAAATAGCTCACCGTTTTGTAATATTTAATATGTTTATTTTTATTTTATTTAATATTCATTTTTGGATGGCGACTCTGAGTCATCAGACTTTTGAGCGACTTTTGGTCCTCCAGTTGGGGACTATTTGGAGAAAAGCTGTCGTATCTGCATATATTGGCCACTTTTATGGTTGGAGTCTTGCAGCGCGCTTCTTTCCCACCGGCTTCATAATGACTGCGGTGTGAAACCGACCATTCCAGCTCTCTCTATACTGCATTATCTGTGTGTGGGCCTGTGAGATGCAGATTTCAAGCTGAAGTCGTGTGGGTATAAGTCAGGAGACACGGTAGTACGGTTTAAGCTTTTCTGACACATTCTGGAATACAGCTTGAATTGCTCCACCCAACTGGCTGGTGTATATCTACAGTGACCTTCTCATTCACCACTGCCAATACATTTCTTGGTGGACAACAACATGACAGAGAAACCAGATCACCGTCCAGTTCTTGTTCTGGCCTGCCCACGAGTTACATGAGCTGGCAGAATGTGTAGAAAGTAATATAGCAGCATGCTGGCCACTATTTCTTCTCACTCTCTTTCTCACTCTCCCCTCTCTCTTTGGCGCTCTTATGACCTTATGCAGTTGCGAGCACGGTAAAACCCTCTACTGTAATAATAATAATAATCTTTCTCTTTTTCACATCATCTCTTTTTCTTCTCTGTACTTCCCCCCTCTCTGTATCTCACATCCTTTACCTCTCTGCCTCTCTCTTACTCTTTCTCTCTCCCATATTTTACTGTCTTTTCTCTCTCTCCCCCCCTCTCTCTCTCTCTCTCTCTCTCTCTCTCTCTCTCTCTCTCTCTCTCTCTCTTTGTTCCCCCCCTACATCTCTCCATCTCTCTCTTGGTACTTTCCCTATTTCTCGGCCTCCTTTCACTCTTCTGCTGTCCCCCACTGTTCTCTCTTTCTCTCTCCCGTTCCTTCATTCCCCCGCTTTTCTCTCTCCCTCTTCTCCCCTCTATTTCTTTTTCTCTCTCCCACTTTCCATCCCCCCTCTCTCTTTCTCCCTCTCTCTCTCTTTCTCTCTCTCTCTCTCTTTCTCTCTCTCCTTCTCTCTCTCTCATCTTCTCTCATCTTCCCTCTCTTTCTTTAACCCTCCTTTTCTTCCTCCCCCTCCTCGCCTTTCACTCCCCCCCCCCTCCCTCCTGCCCTCCACTCAATCTCCAGCTCTCTCTTTCATCTTCTCTCTCTCTTTTTCTCTCATCTTCCCTCTCATTCTTTAACCCTCCTTTTCTTCCTCCCCTCCTTCTCCCCTTTCACCCCCCCCCCCTCCTCTCCACTCACTCTCCAGCTCTCTCTCTCTCTCCCTCGCCCACAGGCAAGGCAGATGCAGCTGGTGGCCAACTACCAGTCCCACCTGGCTTTGGATGAGCTGGACTTGGTTCCGAACCCAGAACCCTTTCTGTGCCCCATCTGTTTTGACGATTTCGGTGAGGGTGAGGGCATTCTGCTGAGAGATTGCCTCCATGTGTTCTGCAAGTGAGTTTTTCCATCCTTTTTTTTCTTTGTTTTTTGTTTTTGTTTGTTTTTGGGGGGTTTTTTGGTGCTAACATGTTCACTGCACAGAAAACTTGGAAAACCCGGAATGATATCTAGAGGCTAGCCCCGGATGGGAAAAGGTGGAAAGCATTTGTTCGTGACCAATACCCTGATGCAGGTTGAGAAAGGAAATCGTATATTCACAATGACCAGGTCATTACATCAGTCATATTTCTAACTCTAGTAGTATAATGATGGCAATACACTGAAGAGAGTTCCTATCAGGAACACGGTGACATAGAGCCTATGCAATGAGGTCATCACATTAAGTCATTAAGAAGTGTTTCTATCACAATGATTCTGACAAATCTCCACTCTAGAATTACAAAGTTCTATCTGCTCAGTACGTAGTTTTTAGAAATCTGTTGTAAAAAATTTTGAGTTTTACATGTCAAGCTTTTTCTAATGCTATTCTTCGAATTTCTTGATAACGACTTTTAATAATCTAACAAATTTGATAGAGCAGATAAAACATTTAGTTTCTGACCTCAAGGTCTTAGTAATTCAAAACAGCCAAAAAGGTCAGATTGTACTTTGTAATTTTAAGGTAGTGAAATATAAGAGGATGTTGCACTGAGAAACAATTCTGTCAGGAGCACCCTGACAAAGCTAATAACGTCACTACATTAGGTAAGACACTCTCCTTCCCTTCCTCCTCCCCCTCCCCCCTTCCTCATCCCCCTCCCCCTTCCTCCTCAAAGATGTCGCCCAAGCAGGGGGGCTTAGATTAGTGAAGTTATTATCCCCACCAGCACTCGCCATCTGTCTAATTTTCTTTTAAACATTTTCAAATCCTTCTTTTCATTCAAAATCTTATTTTTTTCCCCTCAACATTTTCTTCCTAAAAATCTTCGTTCTTCAAAATCTTCTTCCTAAAAATCTTCTTCGTTCTTCAAAATCATCTTCCTCAAAATCTTCTTCTTCAAAACCCTCTTCATTGGCGCTCATATGACCTTATTAATGCAGTTGCAAGCGCCGTAAAAACACTGCTAAAACAAACAAACCCTCTTCAAACTCTTCTTCAAAGTCCTCCTCTTCTTCAAATTCCTCAAAACGTACTGTTTCCTCAAAAATCTTCTTCAAATCTTTTCCCTATCAGACTAACTCATGCCCCTATCTCACCTCTATTCCTCTACCCCCC